AGATTCTCAAACGTGACTTACCAAATCAAATGTTCCGAGTGCACGTTTAAATCAAAGTTAATTCCAACCTGGAATCTACATAATGTCTTCACATTGTTTTAATTTTTAATATTCCTTTTGTCTTTTATATACATAAATAATATAAATAATCATTTATATATTATAATTTAAATTAATGGTTTGAAAAAATAAATTGAAATACTTTAAAATTTATACTTTAAAAATAAGCTTTTCTTCTTATTATATATACTCTTCTTGGCAATTTTTTGCTTCTTTGAACTAAAACTAAACATAAATAAATGTTTATTGTCTTATAAACATAGTTAAAATATATAAACTTTATTTTTTAAAATATATATTTTATTATAATCTAATAAAAATATTTATGGAAATATTGAAATTTTTGTAATTAACATTTCAATAATATGTTGTTATTTCTATTCTTCTATCTCTCTATATACATATACATATACATATACATATACATATACATATACATATACATATACATATACATATACATATACATATACATATACATATACATATACATATACATATACATATACATATACATATACATATACATATACATATACATATACATATACATATACATATACATATACATATACATATACATACATATACATATACATATACATATACATATACATATACATATACATATACATATACATACATATACATATACATATACATACATATACATATACATATACATATACATATACATATACATATACATATACATATACATATACATATACATATACATATACATATACATATACATATACATATACATATACATATACATATACATATACATATACATATACATATACATATACATATACATATACATATACATATACATATACATATACATATACATATACATATACATATACATATACATATACATATACATACATATACATATACATATACATATACATATACATATACATATACATATACATATACATATACATATACATATACATATACATATACATATACATATACATATACATATACATATACATATACATATACATATACATATACATATACATATACATATACATATACATATACATATACATATACATATACATATACATATACATATACATATACATATACATATACATATACATATACATATACATATACATATACATATACATATACATATACATATACATATACATATACATATACATATACATATACATATACATATACATACATATACATATACATATACATATACATATACATATACATATACATATACATATACATATACATATACATATACATATACATATACATATACATATACATATACATATACATATACATATACATATACATATACATATACATATACATATACATATACATATACATATACATATACATATACATATACATATACATACATATACATATACATATACATATACATATACATATACATATACATATACATATACATATACATATACATATACATATACATATACATATACATATACATATACATATACATATACATATACATATACATATACATATACATATACATATACATATACATATACATATACATATACATATGGGTAGGATCCAATTACATTTAGTGTTAAATTTTTAATTTTACATATTTTTATGATCATTGGATGAGGAAAATCAAAGGTTGAGATTAACGGTAAGAAATATAAAGATATTCATTGGAAAAGAAAATAATGAGTTAGTCTCAACCTTTGATTTTCCTCATCCAACGATCCTAAAAAGGTGTAAAATTAAAAGTTTTACACTATGTGTAAGTGAATCCTAACCCATATATATATATATATATATATATGTAGGGATAGGATCATATTACACAATGTAAAACTCATTTAGTTTTACACAGATTTAAGACCGTTGGATGAGAAAAAATAGATGGTTGAGATTAAGAGTAGGAAATGAGAAGATATTCACTGGAAGAAAAAAACAATGAGTTAATATCATCTATTTATTTTCACTCATATCACGATCCTAAATTTGTGTAAAACTCATTATATATATATATATATATATATGGGTTAAAGATCCACTTAAACTATGTAAAACTCTTTTAGTTTTACACAAATTTAGGACTGTTTGATGAGTGAAAATATATGTTTGAGATTAACTCATTATTTTTTCCGGTAAATATATTCTCATTTCTTACTGTTAATCTCAACCATCTATTTTCACTCATCCAACGTTCTTAAATTTGTGTAAAACTAAAAGAGTTTTACACAATGTAATTAGATCATATATTCCTATCCTAATATATATATATAGCAACTTTTTTTCTTCTTTAAACTACAAGCAATGAAATAAATGGCTTTTATTATCTTGTAAAAACACTTAAATATTTTTTTTTATTTTTGTTATATTTTCCTTTTTATATATAAATAAACACAAATAAAGATAGGTGATATTTTATAGGGTAAACTACATATTTAGTATCTAGACTATTATTTTTGTTTCATTTTGTTATCCAAATTTTATATTTTTTTCAAAATCATACCTAATTATTAGTTTAGTTTTCAATTTGGTACATGTTAAAAAAATAACAAAGACTACGACATGACACTTTTATTTTTTCAATGATATGACATTACCTTAAGGTGACACATTAGTATCACCGCTAAGTCTTTAATGGCGGGATACTAAAATGAATCCTATACCAAACATTAGATATGATTTTGAAGAAAAAATTGAGTATCAAAACATAATAAAAGTAATAATTTAGGTACTAAACATGTAGGTTACCCTATTTTATATGGGTTAGTCTAATTATGATTTGTACTTATTCAATTATAAAAATAAATAAAATGAAAATAAAGAATAAAAACTTAATCAATTAGTGTACCAACTTTCAAAAAGAAGTCCCATTTGTTATTTAAACTCTGTATGAGTTCCATTTAACCTTATTAAGACAGCGAACGATCTCCACCCCTGCACACTGTAGTCTTGGTTGAGCACGAACTTTCATTGCTATCGATGAAATGATTTATCTCCAATCTCATTCTGGAGGACCAAGGTTGAGCACTGACACTTCGATTAGACGTGCATCAATGGTTCCGGTCGATGTCACCTATGATTTTGAACTCCTGCTGCTGAGAAGGATGATATTGAAATAGCAAAGGACTAGCTGAATCAAACAATCAGATAAGTCCAGCCTCAATCACTGGGTAAAGATATTCCAACATTTTCCTTTTTGATAAAGAATTGATGTGATCCCACTCATCTTCAATATACTTTCATCGTGCACGCCAAGGATGGAAGTCAAGGGAACACTCTCTTATGGAAGTCAAGGGAGCACACTCTTACTCTTTGCATCTTATCATTATTTAACATCTTTATTTCAATCATATTCATGACATATGTTATATTGTTTATCTTAGTATATTTTATTCTTTTCTTAACTTATTATGTCCATCTTATGATAGGATTAATCATTTAAATGCAGACACGGTATTTATATAACATATCATATTCATTTATATCCATACACATCTTTTAATTGATTATCTTTCATTTGCATGCATACATCTAGCTCATTGCATTATTTCATAGCTTAGTCATGCATGGCAGCAACTAAATCATTTATTTACATAAGTTCCTTAACTTATTTATTTTTCTTTGCATACATAGGTGCTTGACAAGCTGGGTAGACATGACAGCTCATGGATAGCTCACTCTCTCTTTGACAACTCATGGAAGCTCAAAGACATTAAAGAATAGCACACCATCACTCAAGGGAGCTCAATACACTCAAAGGATAGCTAAAAGAGCTGGAGATTAGCTAACATTAGTCGGAGAGTAGCTGGGGAGCTAGAAGCTGAGTTGAAGACTCTCGGAAGCTGGAATGACATTAAGTGTCTAGCTAGTTATCTAAGCTCACCATGCTAGCTAAGTGACCATCCAAGCTACCTAGACACTCACCAAGCAAACTACACCTCTCGGCCATGCGCTATGCACCATGCCTTAGCCGAATGCTCATCTACATTGGCGTGAGGGTCCATGCTATCAAGGAAGGATAAACGCCCATCCAAGCAACCCATGTGCAAGGCGTGTGAACCATTGAGGCACCAACAGCCCATGTGCAAGGCGTGTGAGCCATCTAGGCGCCAACTCCTAAGGGTGTCAACCATTCGGCCACAAGGAGTTATAACTCCTCACTTTAGTGCCAAAGTGAAGCATCACATGCCTATTCGGCCAAGCATCCTTCCTCCGCATTCAAGCCAAAACATTACATATTCATTCATTTAAATTAATTCATGCATCATGAATTTATGAAAAGGAATATACGTTGTCCGAAACATCATGTATCTCTTGGCCATTCCTTTTCATTTTCTATATAACCCAATGCCTTGGCTATTGTAAGGCATCCAACTAATTATTATTATTCACTTGTGAGGTCTTCCTCTTTCTCAGTTCTTTGTAGAACTTTATCGACTTATCAAGCCCTTGTGCTTGTGGCGTTAACCCCCATCTTTCCATTGATACTTGTGCATCCTAGTTGTTATATAACTAGAGGGGCCAAGTTCTTTGCTACCAACCCTTGAACAACTTATAAGGAAAGGTGCTAGGATCCTTATATACTAGTTTCTTCCTTGTTGTTTCAAGATATACTTAATCCATCCATTTCTTTCTTAGCCATCACCACACCATAAACATATCAACCAAAATCTTCCGCTCATCACTCTAAATCAGCCCACCTATATCACCTACATCAACCCATCTTAAACCATTCTTCTTTTGAGTGACCTATCTTATTGCACGTTGTTGCTCATTCACTAGATCCACAATCAAAGGTAGAAATACCTTACATCAAGAAGAAGCCATTTCAACTCCCATAATAAAAACAAACAAGGATTCTAAGGCATGAAACCAGATAGATTCTACAGTTGGTATGAAACCAAATGATAGTAAGGATGCACGCCAGCAGTAAACTTAGTCACTACCATTACATCAAAGTCAATGCTAGTTATCTTTAACATCTTAAGAGCAGTATGATACTTAAGTTACGTATGCTAATACAGCCAAGCAGGTATGCAGATTTACAGATACTTGTAATTTTATGACTACATATAGCTAACCCGAATCATTGCAGCACCAACCTATAGTTCACGAGCATTTCGTATCATAACTTGCAAGCCCCAGCAACTCCGGACCTTCAAGTCGGGGGTTATTCTCAAAGCTATACAAATTGGAATGATTTAAAATCAGTGACGTTCCACAGGGCAAACAGAAAAATAGCTATTGTTTACTTGAATAGATAAAACTAAATAGCAAACATGTAGGTGCATGCCACAGAGAATAGAAACTAAATCTTAGCATTGGGCCAACAAGGCAAACATAAAATACAAAACGCATCCATAAGAACATAATGGTTCGGTCAAAGCATGCTACTCAAGCAGAAAGACTTGAAGCTCATTAACAGATTTATCGAATCATAGCATAATAGACGTATGAATCCATTTAAAGTAGACACTTATACAACGGAAGCTTTACTCCTAGGCTCGTTAACATGCTTATAGTGTAAAGCATATCTAGCTGATTGCTTTACAGCCAGGAATATCCAAGAATAACCAACACTGACAGCAAAATCAGGGTAAAATCCACAAACAAGGAACAGTTACAAAATTCACCTTGACTGTTTGAAACAAATGACTTGACAGCAAATGACATCCATTTGATATTAACATTTGACATCAAAAATTAATGCTCTGAATGCATGTGTGCATGAAAAAGGATAAAGGGGTGGGAAGAGTATCACATATTCACAATGAAGTTTAGATTATATTTTCCTTGAATGACAAAATCCCTTCTTTTTCTTCATCATACAAGTTCAAAAAAATATTATCCAGAGAGGAGTAAGATGGCATAAAACTTTTTAGAATGATCATTTCCATTCCACCAAACCAGGCCCAAGATAAGAAGGCATTCATCAGGTTAGTCTTAAAATGATTTTGAGTAAAGGGGCAAAAGAGAGAAAAGTGCTTGTTTTGAGAAGAAATGTTGATGACAACGTATAATTTATCAAATTTATCATGAGGAAAATGTGTGCAGTCTATCAAGTTCAAGAACAGCAGCAAGACACTTACAAGGTAAATAATTTCAGCATAACATGCACATACCACATATATCATTGTAACATATCATGAACTGTAACTAGATAAATATAATAAAGTAAGCAAATAGCAAAAAAAATATATTACAGAAAAAAGAAGGGGCAAGCTTACTTGTTCAGAGGAATATGCTCAAATGGTCCACTGGTAGGAATCGTTCCACACAAATCATTGTTTGACACATCACTACAATAAAAGAGAGTTTTGATGACCATAAGCCCAATGCTTCATAAAGAATATCAGATAGTACTTCATGAAAATACACGATATGAAAAATCACAACTTACACAACTTTAAGGCTTGAAATACTAACAAGTTCCCGAGGGATATGTCCAGTTAACCTGTTATCATTAAGCCGCCTGCAAAATGATGATGAGTTCAAGAAATATTCATAAATCAATCAGCAAAATAAAAAAGGGGCAAATGGATAGTATTCCGGTTCGTGACATGAGGAAAACCAGAAATGGAGTAATCATTGCATGGCGGCACCCAATGGAACTTGGAACACAAACAGATGAACCATAAATTGATGTTTATGATTTATTTATTTACACACCAAGGCAATCTATTAGCTAATCCATGATTTGATTTTTCAAGTTGATAAAGGAAGCAAACTGAAAGAAATGAAAGCTTGACCATAGGCTCTTCATGCATGAAGTGACAACTATTTGACTTGAGCACTCACAAGAATACAAGAGACTTCAATTTTCCTAGTGAAGGAGGAATTGTCCCTGAGATGTTGTTGTTATATAGGTCCAAACTGATGAGGCTCTTCAAGTTTCCAAGTTCGGAAGGGATGGTTCCTTGGATTTTATTTTTGTAAAGCTCCCTGCATGACAGCGCAAAGAGTGTGAATTTAACAACAGTAGTTGGGTATAACCGTTGTATATGATAGTATAAAAACCACTGTTAAGCCATGAAGGATGGCAGTAAATATCCAACAAGAAAAAGTTTACGGACAAGAAATAAAAAAATGGAAACATGTTGGGAACTCCAGAATCTACATATTAAGGACACGAGAAGAAAAACAATTAAAGGGAATAAAACATACAGATACTGCAAATGATTGAGCTTCCCAAGCTCTGGAACCAAATGTCCAGATAAGTTCGAATTACCTAAATCTCTGCAAAAAGAAATGTATATCATTAGAAATAGGCATAAAAATCCCATAATTCTAGAGGGTTGTAACACAAAAGAAAATGCTATATAAGACATCAAACAGAACCTTCTCAAATAAACATGGAGATCATAATTCATAAGCACACTTACTAAAACCCCAAACTTCCACACACACAAAAACATATATCAAATATGATCCAAAACCCATATAGACAAAACAAAGCAACCGTATGAAAATATGGAAATCCTTTGTTCAGTCGCAAAGAGAGAAAAGGAGATCACAGTACAAAAATAGTTTCAATTCATGGAATCAATTAACCTGTGTAAAAGAAAACATAATAATAATTATTCTTATAAAAGCCTAATATGATGTTTCTGGAACCGATAAGTGCTTTCTCCAAAGGAACAAGGCAATAAGCATTAGAACACCATACAGAAATTAAAACCTTTACTAATTCATGATCAATTTATTTCTGGGAAACTGGTAAACATAGCATTATTATGCCAATTGTACTCCAGATAAAAATACTTTAAAACCATTCTCTACCACTATTTTGCTTTTTTTTTCTTTTCCTAATAATGGCTAACGAGCATAGTAAGCTCATCAGAGCGAACAGTTATTCAGAGAACTTATCCTCCTTTTGCCCTTCAAGACATACAGGGAAAATAATCAGTTAAATTAATTTAACCCCAATTTAAACCAAGCAAATATCAATACCTAAAAAAATAGAATTTAACTCTATGAAACAGTTTTAACAGCCATTTCTTCCCTCCAAAATTAACAAACAAGAGATAACCCATATATTCAATTAAATAAAGCAAAACCCAATTTAAACAGACAGTTTCTCTCAAACATTGGAAATTAACCAGCCTACAAAGAAAAAATAAGATTAAAACTGGAAAGCCAGACAAATAAATGAACTCAAAATAAAAAACAAGGAAGACCTTGAAACCCCCGCGAAACCAAAAATGAAAAAGAAAAAGAAAAGAAGGTAGAAGAAATCGGCATACATACACTCTAGTGACTCGATTATGTTGGTTACAAGTGATGTGGAACCAAGTACAAGGATTGACAAGGGTGGGATCCCAGCTCTGGAGCACGTTATCGGGGTCGGTTAAGCCTTTTTTCAAAGTGTAAAGAGCATCTCCTTCGGAGTTTCCGAAAACGGACAGAACCAGAGTAAGTGTTAGGCAGAAAACCAAAACCCAGATCGTAGCCTCCATTGTTGATGTTAGTTTCAGCTGCTCCGTATAGTACCAGGTCTTTCTGGTTAGGAAGAAAAACGTAAAATTGAATAAAATAAAATGAGAAAGGGGAAACAAGAGCTTTCAAAATTTAAAGATTCAACTGCGAATCCTTCTTGGTTTTTTCTCTCTTTTTTTAATTAATTCTTTTAGTGGGTTGTTTGTTCCAATTTCATTTCCACTACCAAATATCATTTTGATTTAACTTTTTTTTATATATACACGTTGTCATGTAAATTGATCCAACAAACACGAACGAAGATTATATCTGTTTATTTAATTTTAAACGAACGAAAACAAACAAATAAATGAATTGAAGTTTTTGTTTCATTAAATAGCATAATGATAAATGAACGTAAACAAACTAACATGAATATAATTTTATTTTAAATCAAGCAGATTTGTTAAATAAATGAAGAAATATAAATTTAATTAAATAAATAAACATAAACAAACAAATTATTAAACATAAATGAACATATTATTAAATGAACATAAATAAATAAATAAATAAATGTTTTACTTGTGTACCTTCATTTAATTAAATAAAATATATTTGTATTTATATATTTAATAAATAAATATAAACGAAATTCCCATTGAAAAATTGACCAACAATTTGCTGAAGACTTTATTAGCTTACATGTCTATATATACAAAAATGGGAGTTGATGGCGGAGAAAATCTGAGATCTGGGTTTGATTAGGTGTGACTGAGTTGGTATTTGGTTTGACCTTGTCACCTTTGCGTCCATTATGCAATTACTAAAGTCATAGTGACATCCACAAAACAAGCGACATTTTAAAACAATGGGTAAATTAGATGTTTAGTATCCAAATTATCACTTTTGTTTCATTTTAGTCACTCATCTATTATTTTCAAAAAAATCATACATAATGTTACTTTTTTTAGTTTTTAGTTTCATTTTGATCACACGCCGTTAAAAAATTAACAAGTTATTGACATGACATTTTCAAATATTTTCAATGATGACATGACAGTACCTTATGATGACACATCAATAACATTGTTAATTCTTTAACAGTGAGTGATCAAAATGAAACAAAAATGTAATATTAAATATGATTTTGAAAAAAATGTTAATTAAATGACCAAAATCAAATAAAAGTGATAATTAAAATATTAAACGTATAATTTATTGAAAAATATATACATTAACTATCATTAGAATTTGAATGATTTCGTTCGTAAAGGATAATACTCCATTCTCTTTAAAAGTATTGGATTTGAATAGTCGGCGTTTATATGGTGTATATGTAAAAATAAAATAAACAGATAATATCTTAGAATTATCTTAGAATTTTTTTATTGAATTTCTATTGGATAAACTATTAAAATGGCGCTTATACTTTATTTTATCTAATTTTAATCATCAATTTTTAAAAGTAACATTTTGATTACTTATATTATCAATTCATAACGTTTTGGTTATTGGGATGTGTCACGTTAGTAAAATATATTACTTTTTTATTTTGGTCATTAAATTTTAGATAAAATATTAATTTGATTCTTAAATTGAGATGAAATATCAATTTAAACTTTGGACTTTGTATAAAATATTTATTTGATCCATGAATCCAGTTAAAATCTCATTTTCTCAAGCATAAAATTTTCTTTCAGCCAATGAGACGTTAACATGTAATACAAAATTAATTACTTGTTTTAATAAAAAAAATAATTTAAATACTTAAAATTATTACATATGATAATTTAAGTACTTATTTTAAAAATAATAATATAAGAACCTAAAGAGAAAAAGGCATAATTTAAAATTTCTTTTTTATTCAAGTCATTATTTTATGAAATTGAGTTGTCCATCTCTCCTTTTGAATTAATATTATTTTCTAATTTATGATCGTAAAGATTATAAATGTAAGATTTTATGTTAAAAATTATGAATTTTTTAATGAAATTCTAAAATTCTAAAAATATGAAATTAAATTGTTAATAAAAATATTTAAATATATAAAATTTTAAAATTTCAATATATATAACCACTCAATACCTATTCAATCTATCCCTAAAATCATATATGATCTTATAAGCATATTCTTTATCACTGTATCAAACGTACATGGTCTTATGAGCAATTTCTTTCTCGCTGAATCAAATTTCAAAGGCCAAATATCATTCTTGAGTACCAAAAATAAAATGTCGTTTCTAAGTGTAGAAAGGACTCTACATTATTTTTATATGATATTCTGTACATATTAAGACATGTATAAAATAATATTTTGCTGGGAATAAATGAGTTGTAGGAGGTTCATATTTTCTGGTTTGAACAAAGAATTACATAAAATCACATATGAGTGAGGTGATTTCATCTGAGTTTCATCCTTTCTCACGATCTTAATCAAGGTTTTATAATGACTCTCGGAGACAATGCCAGGCGTAGAGTCATATGACTACATATAAACTTACATGCTTTGTAGATATGGATCAGTTGACAATAAATTTGATTTTAGTAGGTCACGTAGTTATATCAAAGGTCATGTCAACAGGTCAATATTTTAAAATATGGTATAGCAATCGCACAAGTATATATATCGTCACCAAGTAATAAAGTATAAATCCTTTTGGAATTTTGGATGTCGAACATTAAACATAAAGTTTACTATTGAGATTAAGAAACAAGTGTTGATTGAATTGGCATATAAATAAAACAAATATTAAAATAAGGAATAAAATGGAATAAAGGCAGGGTCATGCTTTAACTCTAGGTTTAGCACATAGTCTGAAATCAAATAGAATAGATTGATAAAAGGAACCCCTTGTTTAGTTCATGCAATTAACTTGGCTATAATGAATTTAGCATCAATTACTCTAAACTAATTAATATGAAATAGCTTTCTCTAAGACAATCAATCACATAGTAATAATGTTAAATGTTGGCAACATACATCTCATCATGCATTTGCTTCTCACAATACCAAAGCCACGGATTTAGCATGCAAGTCATTCAATTTATCTCCAAACAAAATAACAACACACTTAATAATGAAATCTCTTTCATCATTCATAAAGCATAAAGCACAAAGTAGCAAATTAAATAACATTCATATAAACAAGGGTTCCAACCAAACGGCTAAGTTTGAACATTCAACATCCCAAATATATAAATCAACTAGCTAAACTTCCCTATCTCATATGGAGTCTAAGTAGTTGAGTGAACTCGTTAATTGTCGATGCTACTCGTCAAGGCTGCCTCTCAAATGCTATAGCATTCCCCCTACCGCTGTAGCTTAGGAGGCCATGGAGAATAAATGAGAGAATTTGTGTGTAAGAGGATAGAATTAAGAATTTATGATTAAATGAGCTGAGGGAGGTCCTATTTATAGGTGAGGGGGTCAAATTGTCTCCAATGAAGATTCTCCACGTAGCAGCAGCTGGTTGGAGAGGATACAGCTGGGGGAGGTCCTAATTTGCTTCTCACAATACCAAGGCCACGGATTTAACATGCAAGCCATTCAATTTATCTCTAAACAAAATAACAACACACTTAATAATGAAATCTCTTTCATCATTCAGAAAGCTTAAAGCATAAAGCACAAAGCACAAAGTAGCAAATTAAATAACATTTATATAAACAAGGGCTCCAACCAAACGACTAAGTTTGAACATACATATAAATCAACTAGCTAAACTTCCCTATCTCAGGTGTAGTATAAGTAGTTGAGCGATCTCGTTGACTGTCGATACTACTCGGCAAGGCTGACTAATAGATGCTATACCATTCCCCCCGCTGTAGCTTAGGCGGCGATGAAGAAGAGACAAGAGAACTTGTGTGGAAGAGGATAAAATTAAGAATTGATGATTAAATGAGTTAGGGGAGATCCTATTTATAAGTGAAGAGGTCAAAATTGTATCAAATGAATATTTTCCATGTAGCAACAACTAGTTGGAGAGGATACAACTATCCCAACCCAACTTGGTGAGTCATCATTTGTTGTAGCATTTGCTTCTTCGCTGCATCATCTGCACCAATTTTAGCAGGAAAATCCATAAATTAGCCCAACTTAACCAAACTTTAAACAATGCAAAAATATAAAAAATAAGACTAAACTAAACCTAAAATGCTTTTAAACATACTCAATTTCAAGCTAAACCTAGGTATAAGGTGCTAAAATGATAACTCTTTTGTAGAGTTATCAGTCACGATTTCTCGAAGGACGTTAGATATCCAAGATCCTTCCTCTAAAGACGATTTTCTAATGTCATGTTGATGAACAAAACCATTTTCGTGATAAACATTTGTTGATTCAATTATACCATGGTGCTTGTTTCAACCCATATAAATTCCTTTTCAGCCTTAGACTCTTATATTTTTGTTTTTTGAATTTGTATCTATTCAGTTGTTCAATGTAAACATTCTCTTTCAAGAAACCATTAAAAACACCGATTTCATATCTAATTGATGTATTTTCCACTTTATTTGAGGTGCCAAGGAAATAATCAATCAAATTATTTCAATTCGAGCAATTGACACAAAAACTTCATCATAATCACTCATACTTTTTGCTTTATGGTTTTAACATCTAGTATTTTTTTTGTATCTTATAGTTTTCCACTTACATTTTTTTTCTTCTAAAAATCCATTCGACTCTTATAGGTTTATGACATTTTGAAAGTTTTGATAACTCACAAGTGTTGTTCTTCTCAATAGATTTTATTTCTTCATCCATTATTACTTTCTAACTCTTTTCTTTCATAACATCATCAAAGTTAAGTGGCTCATTATTTACCAACAATAAAAACAAATCATAATAGCTTTAACGGAGTAATACAAATCCATAACACTCCTAAATTTGTATGGTTTTTCACTTTATCTTTCTTCATAAGTTTCTTCATGGATCAGTTCAGGTGAAAGAAGAAGAGTCGTGTATGTTCACAACTTATGGAGGAATCACATCTTATTCTTCTACAAAATATGAAAAAAAAATTATATGCTTATTATTATATCTCTCAGTTCCAACTTGCTTGTTCATTGAACTCAACATCACGATTTATAAGAATTTTCCCATTGCTTAGATTGTACAATTTATAGTTCTTGGAGTTTGAGTCATAGCCAATAAAAATAAATTTAGAACTATGATAGTCAAGTTTTGATCTATCTTGATTTGGTATATGTGCATAGGCAATGCTACCAAACAATTGAATATGTCTTATACTTGGTTTTTTTCTGCTCCATGTTTCTTGAGGTGTTACATTAACCGCACTCTTTGTTAGCGAGGGACTAGAAAAAAATTGTATATGAAATAACTTTGACCTAAAATTCTTTGGGTATTATTTTCGCCTCTATCATACTTTTGGCCATGTTAAGAATAATTTTAATTTTTCGTTTCATAATATCATTTTGTTGCGACGGTCTGGACACTGTCAAAGGAAGATGAATTTCATGTATTTTGTAAAAAATATTAGATTCATTAAAACTAAATTCGTCTCATCTATTAGACCTGAAAGATTTTGTCTTGTATCCATTTTCCTTTTCAACAAGAACTTTAATTTTTTTTTAAACATCAAAGCCTAATATTAATGCTTCAATTAATAAACTCAAATCTTTCTACTATAATCATCAATGAAAAAGTATACATGTTACTAAATGATGCTGGAGTGAATAGTCCACATATATTGATATGAGCAAGTTAAAAAGACATATAATTATGTTACTGAATGACGACGAAGTGACTAGTCCACATATACATGTTCCTCAAATTTTTCGATGTTATTTCTTTTGAAAAACATGATTTTGCATGTTTACTTAAGATACATATCTCACATAAATGATTAGGATGACTAATGGTTAGAATTTTATTAACTATCTTCTTTTCATTAAACATCTGAATTGCTCCAAAATTTAAATAACTAAATATTATATGTTTAAAAATAGAAAATTTTATTTTAAAATAAAATATTAGGGGAATTTTTTTATTCAAATATTATGTAATTTTTTTATAGAATGAAACATTTGAAATTAATATATATAAGAAAATAAGATAAAATGGTTATTTATCTAAATATTACAAGTAAATAACTTTTTTTCGGTTGATAAAAAGGGTAAACTACACATTTAGTATTTAAATCATTATTTTTTTATGTTTTGGTATCCAAACTTTATTTGTTTTCAAAATCATACTTAACGTCTAATTTAGGTTTCAATTTGGTACCTCGTAGTTAAAAAATGAACAGAATTGTTGACATGTAATAATGACGTGTGGTATCATCTTATGGTGACTCATCGACATTATCATTAAGTTTTTAACGACATGATATCAAAATAAACCTAAACTAAACGTTAGGTACGTTTTTAAAAAAAGTAAAGTTTAGGTGTCAAAATAAAATAAAATTAATAGTTTAGATATTAGATATGTAGTTTACCCTAAAAAATCAGCTACATTTCAAGTAGAATAATCAACTTACTTTTTGTTGAAAAAATTTTAATAATCTCGTGGACGCCATAAAATATTAAAATGTAGTTGATACGCATTAAAACCCTATCCTATATGATAATTACTTCGTACCTAATTTTTTGTTTCTGCATAATTTTGGATTTATTTATTAAATATATAAAATTTTAATATATGAACTCAAAGTGGTTAAAGATCTGACAATCTGTTTAGATTCGATTTTCCCTCTTATAAAAATAAAACTAAAATTCTAAACTCACCCACACGTGTATTCGACATGTGTCACAGTTACATCAATACACCGTCGTTTGGAGAGGGTAATTTCGTGATTTTAAAATTTTCTGAACGAAAACTAGGGTCTTTAATTCCATTTTAATATCCAAATTTTATTTTATTTCAAAATAATATCTAATATTTAATTTAGGTTTCAATTTAATATATACTGTTAAAGAATTAACAATGTTATTAAAATCGGATCGGACATACCGTTTCAACCGGTTGAACCGTGAATTGATGGCTTGTCTGGTCCGGTTAACTCCCAAAACCGGATGAGCACAAAACCGGTAAAGAACCGGCAAAACCGGGATGAACCGGCTGAAAACCGGTGTAAACCGCCGATTCTCTTTTTTTCTTTAAAAAAATTAAATCAAACGACGTCATTTGTTAAACAAGCCGAGTCGAACTCGAGTACTGCTGAGCTCGACTCGAACTCGAAAACTTTAAAAGTAAACTCAACTCGACTTAAAAACTCACGAGCTAAAAATTATCAAGTTCAACTCGAACTCGAAATATAATATTGAAATTTGAACTCGAAAAGGCTCAAATTCAAAAAAAAATAGAAGCTCGATTAAAGCCTGAAATTCGAGCTCAATTGAAGCGAAAGAATAATTCGCTCTGTACTCACCAAAAGACTCCATAATTTTGAATGTCAAATTACCTCTAGTATTTATATAAGTAAGTTGGGATGCTCTTCTATATTTCTTAGCCATGTGAGATTGTTTTTAAAAAAAATTAAACCAAACGACATCGTTTGTTATGATTTTTCCAGCCCCAATTTTTTTTATTATAGTTATATAATTATATTTATTATTTAATATGTTTTACCTTAAATATTATGTTGTAGTTGATTTGAAACATTTTGTTTCACTTGATTTTATGTTTTTTAATTTATATATGTTATGACTTGTGATATTTTTATACCTTTTAATATTGTAAACTTAAAAAAAAGTGTTATATATATATTAATATTGCTTTGAATATTATGTAAAATTAAAAAAAATATTATTTATATAAAATCCGGTTGAACCGCGGTTGAATCAGTGAACCAGTACCTTCACCTGTTCAAGGTCCGGTCCGGTTTTAAAAACATTGAGAATTAACATAATCACTAACGTAATATTTTTTTATTTTTTAATGATGTTGTGACTTTATCTCATGATAACACGTCAACATCATCATTAATTTTTTAATTACGAGATATCAAAATAAAACCTAAATTAAACGTTAAGTATTATTTTAAAATAAAATAAAATTCAAATACCAAAATGGAACATAAGTAACAGTTTAGATAATAAATATATAATTTACCCTAAAAATATAATAGTAAAAAAACATACTTCATAACCGAGGTAGTGACAAGTTCCCAACTGTTTATAAATTAAGATAAGAGAGCTGTTCGTAGGCGATCTCACTCATCTCTCTGATCAAATCAAAGCCGTCTGTTTTTCCCCTAAATCAGAGACGGGAGCCTTGATCTTGATAATCTCACTTAATTTTTTTAGTGTTTCTACAAGTTGTTTTCTCTACAAATTTCAGGTAGTTTTTCTCTAAAATCTCTTTAGTTTCAATTTCTTTGACTTATGTTTTCCGATTTGGGGGTTTTACTGGTTTTTTTAAGGATTTTTCATCTCTTCCGTGCAATGCAGCTTCAGTGTGTGTGTATTCTTTTTTCATGGGTTTTTCTCCCTTTCATGTATATGATCTGGGTATTTTACTCCTGTTTTTGTTTCTAGTTTTGAGTAAACGTTCAAGTTTATACGTTTTTTTAGCTTCTTTATTTTCTTACGTAACTTTTTTATACACCAACAGACTAGTTTTTTAAGGTAGTATAGCAGAACACTTTTGTCTCTTCAGTATGCTTTTTGAAACCTTGTAATTTTATCTTATTTCAATTTTTTAGTGCTAAAAATGTTTTCCATGTCATCTTTTTGAGTTGTGAGCAAGCGTCTTAAAAAGCTGTAACATTTCTGCGTCATTCGTTGCTTAATGTTAACCGTATTCGTGTGTTTAAGCTTATGTACTTAGATTTCCTTATTTTACACTCTGAAGGGTATTTTTTTCCTTTTATCTTATCATTTACGCTTATTTATCTATTTTTGTTTGTGGGTGTTTCGCCATTCTTAAATATTTGCTTATTTTGCTGTAGATCTTCTGATTTTCTAGGTAATATTCCTATCCTTTATAAGCATGTCTTTAATGTGCTTGCATGTCGGTGTTTTTAGCATATTCTTAGGGAAAAATCGTCATTTTTAATAGCATAGAGTTTGGTGTCTTGACTTTGCTTCTGTTTTTGGGTGTTTGAATGTCTATGGTTGTTTCTATTTTCCACTCTGCCAGTAGTATAAGATCTTTAAGCCATTATTTAGTCAACTGAATTTCCTGAATGCATGCCTTCGTTTCTCTAAAAGAGATTCGACCTCTTTAACATTTTTGAAGTAAAAAATAAATAAATAAATAAAATCTGCCATTGTATTATAATTCTATATGGTTTAAATGAAATAGATTCTGAGTGATCTAGTTTGATGGGTTTCTACGATTGTGATATTTCTAGAGGGTTTGCTTCTCTTTCTCTTTCTTTGTTAGTAATATGACTAATAAATTAGCTTAGAAGTTGAAAGCTGTTTTGTTCATGAAATGATTATATAATATCCTTTTTATATACTTTCCAAGCGGTTTTACTTTTATTTCAGGTGACCTTAGCACTTGCTATTTGTTTTTATTTCTTCATACGATACATATTTTTCTTCTTGGTTAGGATATGGACTCGTTTGAAAAAGATGGAAATGGGGCTGTGCCTGAGTCTCTGCCACCTCCCCCACCTGTGCCTCCTGATGTTGTACCTATCAAAGCAGAATCTGAACCTGCAAAAAAGAAGGTTGTGCGAGTCCCAATGGCCAGGCGTGGTCCTGGGTCTAAAGGACAGAAGATAACTCTTCTAACCAATCACTTCAAAGTGAATGTTGGAAGTGTTGATGGATATTTCTTCCACTATTGTGTATGCCGTTTGATTCCTTTGCACCTTTCCCCTTTTTCATCTCCGCTTCCATTTTGTAAATGGTAATTGTTGATGCAAGTTTGTTCTTTTGCATTTGGTTCAATAGGTTTCTCTATTTTATGAAGATGGTCGTCCTGTCGATGGCAAAGGTGTTGGAAGAAAAGTGATAGATAGGGTGCAAGAAACCTATAGCAATGAGCTGGCTGGAAAGGACTTTGCTTATGATGGAGAGAAGAGTTTATTTACTGTTGGTCCTCTCCCAAATAACAAGCTTGAGTTTACAGTTATACTTGAGGATGTTACATCCAACAGGTAGGCATGTACTTATAATTGATTTTCAGTATATGTCATTCCCATTTATTGTTATTTAAGCTCTAAACACGGACCTTTCTTCTTATTTATAGAAACAATGGAAATGCAAGTCCTAAAGGCCATGAGAGTCCAAATGCTCACGACAGGAAGAGAATTAAACGGTCTTATCAGTCAAAAACCTTTAAAGTGGATATTAGCTTTGCTGCAAAGATTCCCATGCAGGCCATTCAAAATGCTCTGCGTGGACAGGAATCAGAGAACTCACAGGAAGCCTTAAGGGTGTTGGATATCATTTTACGGCAGCATGCTGCAAAACAGTGAGTTAAATATATATGCATGCATATTATTTTACCCACTTTTAAGTTTTGGTCCTGGATGTTAATTTTTTGCTATAAAATTAATTTGATTATAGGGGATGCCTTCTTGTTCGCCAATCTTTCTTTCAAAACAATCCCGACAATTTTACGGACATTGGTGGAGGTGTCCTAGGCTGCAGAGGGTTCCATTCTAGTTTTCGAGCCTCTCAAGGAGGCCTTTCCCTGAACATTGGTTGGGATCTTTTCTCTCAGCTCTAATTCATTTGTCTGCTTTGTATTTTTTTAATTACTCAATTTATTTCTATTTTAGATGTATCAACTACCATGATAATTCGACCTGGTCCTGTTGTGGATTTTTTAATTGCCAATCAGAATGCCAGAGATCCTTACTCCCTGGACTGGACCAAGGTAACCAACAAATCCTCACTTTTGACAAGTGAATTTGAGTTTTCTTGCATCAATTATTAAACCACTGTTGCTTGGTTCCCTGTATAGGCTAAACGAACTCTTAAGAATCTGAGGATAAAAGTTAGTCCATCCAATCAAGAGTACAAGATTACTGGATTGAGCGAGCAAATGTGCAAAGATCAGTTGTATGGTTTCTGATTTCAGAACAGTGCTTTTTCTTTGATTTATTTTAAGTTTTTTTTGCTCAGCTATTATTTCTTTCAGAACAGTTGTATGTTTCAATTTTAAGGATGGACTTTTTTATTTGTTGTATTTTTGTGGTCTTCATGTAGGTTTTCATTGAAGCAGAAAAGTGCGAAGAATGATAATGGTGAAGCTGAGAATCTAGAGATTACTGTTTATGATTATTTTGTCAACCGTCGCAACATAGAGTTGCGTTATTCTGCAGACCTGCCGTGCATTAATGTTGGAAAACCAAAACGGCCAACGTATTTTCCTTTGGAGGTGAATTCATGCATGGCTTTGTTTATTTATAGAATATATGTTTCATAACTAATTCTTGTCTATGGCTTGTTGTGCACCTGTTGCCATAGTTGTGTTCCCTGGTGTCTTTGCAACGTTACACAAAAGCACTAACCACTTTTCAGAGAGCTTCACTGGTTGAAAAATCAAGACAGAAGCCTCAGGAAAGAATGACTGTCTTGTCTAGTGTAAGTCTTTTCTCTAAGCGTTTGACTCACTTCATTTCAATTGTGTTATAACTTGTGTCGGTGAGTGTTGCAAAATTTGTGCAGGCTTTACAGAGGAGTAATTATGGTGCTGAGCCAATGCTGCGTTCATGTGGCGTTTCTATCAGCACTAATTTCACCCAAGTGGAAGGTCGTGTTCTGCCTGCACCGAGGGTAGAGTCATCTTTAACTTAATAAATTTTTGTTTGTTCCATTAATATCATACATTTATATTGGGTGTTCAGGGTTACCCTAATAATCTTTTTTCTAGATCTAAATTCTGTTTTATCTTTGATGTCAGTTAAAAGTCGGGAATGGTGAAGATTTCTTTCCACGGAATGGGCGGTGGAATTTTAACAACAAGGTCTTTCCTCTCTTCTTTTTGCAACCTTATGTTTTATATATTTTCCCTTCATTGTTTCTCTAACATTTCTGTGTATGACTTAATAGAAACTAGTGGAGCCAACTAAGATTGAACGATGGGCTGTTGTTAACTTCTCGGCACGATGTGATACAAATAGCCTTGTTCGAGATTTGATTAGATGTGGAGACATGAAAGGAATTGTAAGTTTGGCATTTGATTTTTTTTATTTTGGTTGTGACGGTTTTGTCAGTGAGCATATACAGAGTTGTATAATTCAACCTGTTGACTTTTTTTTAGAGGATAGACAATCCTTTTGATGTGTTTCAAGAGACAAATCAGAACAGACGCTGCTCTCCTGTTGTTAGAGTGGATAAAATGTTTGAGGACATTCAATCTAAACTTCCTGGAGCTCCACAGTTCCTCCTTTGTGTTTTACCTGATAAGAAAAATTCTGATCTTTATGGTATGCAAAATATTATCTGGTCATACATCGACTCTGCTTTTCTTTTCAAAGTCTCTCCCTACATGTAAAGTTCATTGATTTTTCAAAGGTCCATGGAAGAAGAAGAATCTTGCCGAGTTTGGCATAGTCACGCAGTGTATGGCTCCAACTAGGGTCAATGATCAGTACCTTACGAATTTGCTTCTAAAAATCAATGCAAAGGTAGGCTCCTAGCAGATTTATTCTTTTATTTTTTAATTTGTAACTTCTGGATGATGGATTGGTAAGCTATTTCTTTCTTTGTAAATCAAACCCTGACCTGCTCTTACCTCTGCATAATCTGCTCACAGCTTGGAGGACTGAATTCTATGTTAGCAATTGAGCAAACAACTTCAATTCCGGTTGTTTCTAAGGTTCCAACCATCATCCTTGGCATGGATGTGTCTCATGGCTCTCCTGGGCAATCTGATATTCCATCAATTGCTGCGGTAGGGATGATTCTTCATAGTCATTGTAATGGTAGTTATTTGAGATGTGATTCTGCAGTCTGTACATGTTAAATAGTCATTAAATATTGCCTATAATGAAGCTTCTTGACCTGTAAAATTTTAAGAATTCCTTTAGTTGAATTTCTAGGTGGTCAGCTCCAGGCAGTGGCCTTTGATTTCCCGCTACAGGGCATCTGTGCGGACACAGTCACCTAAGCTTGAAATGATAGATTCTCTGTTCAAACGAGTGTCTGACAAGGAGGATGAGGGTATCATTAGGTGTGTCAATAAATTTGTTTATGATTTGTTATCTGTTGTTAATCATTCATGTCTAGCATTTTAACTTTGGGGTCTAGTTATGTTTACAGTTGTGTTCCTAATGATTTTATTTTTCAATATCAGGGAGGTTCTTTTGGACTTCTATACAAGTTCAGGAAAGCGAAAGCCTGATCAAATCATAATATTCAGGTTTGTTTTTATGTTGCTGTTTCTCGTGTTCAGTTTGTATGATAATATAAACATATTCCAAGCATAAATAATCATTTTAGGTAACATGCAAATACAGAATTTGGTTTTCCTATATCATAATTCTCATTTATTTTTCTCATTGTTGCGAACTCTATATTGACTTCTAAGCCATTATATATATATTTATTCTACCAAATCATTTTTTACATGTGAAATGTATAACCACTATTTAGGAAATAAGCATCTTTATCTGCGTAGTGTCTTCATGCAGCATACGAATTGTACACGTTGAATGTCATTTAAACTTCTTCCTGAATTTTGACATGCATCAGATCTTTTATCTTTCTTTTAGCCTCTTCTATATCCCTAATTTATTGTTCTGGCTATGACTTTGACTTTTGCGATAACCCCTCTTAACATTTTTAAATTTGTCATATAGTTTTGTTCTGCACTATAATATCTTCCATGTAAAGCCCTTTTATTTTTTTAAAATTCTGCAATTGCAAAAATATGTTTGGTGTTAATCTATATGGTAAACTATCCTGTTTTTCATGGTTTTCCGCTGCAAGTTGTGTTATTATCTTATGGTTTTTTTGGATAGTTAAATTTATCTTATGATTAATCATGTCGCTTGTGTGTATTTCTTTGTGAGTTTGGTTACAATGATATGATGTTTCTGTTACATTTATTGAGATGCTCATTATGATTCTTGGTTCAATTCAGGGATGGGGTTAGTGAGTCGCAGTTCAATCAAGTTTTGAACATTGAACTGGATCAAGTCATTGAGGTATGCAATAAGATAACATCGCTAATGATAAAACATTCTCTTAAGATAGTGATTGGGATAAAACATCAACTATTAACGTTTCTACTTTATAGGCTTGCAAATTTCTTGATGAGAGTTGGAACCCCAAGTTTGTGGTCATCGTTGCACAGAAAAACCATCATACAAAGTTCTTCCAGCAGGGATCTCCTGACAATGTCCCACCTGGTAAGGCTCAGTTATGATTCAGCGTGCCACTACAATATCTTTGTTATGGTGTTCCAGTTGATCCCCTCTTTTCCCTATTATACAGGCACTGTTATAGACAACAAAATCTGTCATCCAAAGAACAATGACTTCTATCTTTGTGCTCATGCGGGAATGATTGTAAGTGTTTACAGAACTTTGTTTTGTTGATTAATGTTTCTATAGTTATATCTTGTCTTTTTTCCCCTTTATTAATATGCTTGGAACTTCATTGTTCTTTTTCTACCTTTGAATCAAAACTCTGATTTCTGAACTTCATTCTGAGTTTTGCATCTAAATCTTTTTTTTTTCTTGATCAAGGCTCAATTGGCTGATTTTACTTTGAAATGTTTGTGTTAAATATCTTTTTGTGGTGATTACATTGTTAGTGACATTTTTGATGTGTTGTAAATTGTTGTAATGTTCATTTCTTCATATAATTTGTGTTTGGTTTCCAGGGAACCACGAGGCCTACCCATTATCATGTTTTGTTAGATCAGATTGGGTTTTCGGCTGATGATCTCCAGGAACTTGTTCATTCTCTGTCATATGTGTGAGTGTATAATCATGTATAGTAATCGCTTCCGCAATGTTTTAATCCATAATATTGTGTTTACTTATAATCTGTGTATTGCAGTTACCAAAGGAGCACCACTGCCATTTCTGTAGGTAAGAAATCTGTTGTAGCTTTTGGCCCCTAGTGTTTGTGTGGCTTTCAGCAACACTTGGTTTGATATAGCTTTTTCTCCTGAAGTGTTTGTTTATATATTTTGTGGGATTGGGAGTATGAGAATGATGATTTTGTTACAGTTGCTCCAATCTGCTACGCACATTTGGCAGCCTCACAGGTTGGGACGTTCATGAAGTTTGAAGATGCATCTGAGACATCGTCAAGCCATGGTGGGGTTACGGCACCAGGAGCTGTTGCTGTCCCTCAGCTGCCTAGGTTGAATGAGAAAGTCTGCAGCTCAATGTTCTTCTGTTGAGAGGGACGTATGAGCCGAGCCCCATGTTTTGTGTAGGCATTTGGTGTTTTTTACCGAACGACTGAAACGGTTTTAAGTTAAAAATGTAGGATTATCCATCCCGCAATGCTTATGATGATGAGGCAGGGTAGTTTGAATCATCATCCGTTTTGAGTATGAACCTACTGGTGTGAACAAGTGGCTCTCGCCTGTGTAACTTGGCTGTGTTTGTGGTGTGGAATGTGGATGTTATTCGGCAGGTTATGCTTGAAGAGTTGGATTGTGGCTAAAATATTTGGGTCTTCAATGCTGACTGCAGAAAAATCAATTAGATTCATCTAAAGATCGGATTTTTTATAAGAAAACTTTAAACAAGGTTCACAGCAGCAGAGTTGAGCACATTTAGAGTTTTTTCCCCCTTATATATAACTTCAATATATTAGTTACACTGAAACTGGAAGCCATAATTGGTCTGGAACATAAGGTTAAATTAAGGTGAATTACATAGAACCTTATTATGATAGAGTTGATTGAATGTGAGGTCCTCAAACTATGGCCTAAGTTCTAATTTGGTTCTTAAACTTTAAAGTATTTTATTTCAATCCTTAAATTATGACTCATTTTAAATTGGTCCCTGAATTTTAAAAGTATTCTATTTTTATCCCTCGACAATCTAATTTTACTGGTCTTTTAAAGTTTTGGGAATTGAATTCGTGATCTAAAAAGGTAATATATTTTTAAGGTCAAGAAAATTAAACCCATGACCTAAAAATTAAACTATTTATGAAGGTCCTAAAAATTGTTTAAAAGGTCACGAGTTCAGTCCAGTTCCTATTACCTTAAAAAATAAGTTAAAATTATTAACCAATAGAGTTAATGATAGATTAACGGTATGATTAGAAATGAAAAGAAAACAATAGCTTGGAAATTGATATAGAATATTTTTAAGTTTAGAGGACTAATTTAGAATGGGGTTGCATTTTGGGAGATTAATATAGAATATTCTAAAGTTTAGAAATTAATTTAGAAAAGTTGTTATAGTTTGAGGACATACTATGCAATCATTTCTATACTATAATAAACGATTACGAAAATTACGTAAACCATTGTAACTTTGAATTTATGACAATATTGGCTGAACTTGTAATCCTTCTACCAGCGTCCTACATTTTTTTTACCTTTACCTTAATTCAGCCTCATTTCAGTATGCAAAAAATATCTTCCATCTGATTTATGTTCTCAAATCACAAGTTAAAGATAACCCAAACGAAAAACAATGGAGAAAATAAAAATTAATTGCTAACAAGAAGTTATTGAAAAACGATAATCACATTTCATAAAAAGTATATTATAACAAAATGAAAAATTAAAGATTTTATAAAAAAAATGTTCATTTACAATTTAATGTTTGTTTTCCAATATCATATTCAAGTTTGTTAAGAAGTGAACCTTTTTCAAGTTGGAATTGAGTTTTATGTCATTCTTATCTTGTATATGTAATGTTGCAGGCAATATGAAGTATTATGCCATTCTCACCATACCTAGGACAAGTAAATGGTCAGCCACCATCTTCATATATATATATATATTATATATATATATATACAATAAACAACAAAAGGTTATCATGCAAAACAATATACAGGACCTTCCCATCTCTAAAACAACTGATTACATCACAAAACACACTTCACCACATGTTCTAAATGAACAAAAAGAATTTGTCCAATTTCACAGCTCCCTTTATCTTCTACTGTAAAACAACTAATGAAACACATGCAGAGACTAAGAATCAATAGAGCTGGGAATGCTTACATTAAAACCACAAAAGCAGCAGTCCGGACCATATAGCCATCGTACCTGCAATTTAAAATCTAATCCCGTCCAATATGGTAGTTAATGATTTCATAAGCTATATCCTGACACGGCAGTCTATATCAAGTTAAAATCAGTGGAAACCAAACAAGCCAATAACATTCCATACAAATTACCATCAAATTTACAGAACCACAATTCAAAAAAATGTAAATAACCCCAAAAATGTTGTCACATAAACCCAAATTAAGAACATTCTTGAAAAGAGAATAATAAAAAAAGGGTACGGAAAAGGAATTGTTTGAGTCACACTTGAAAATATAAAAAAGGCATAGTAGCATCTAAATGAAAATTCTACTTGTTACTCAACATTTTTCGAGAAACAAATATTCTAACTGAAATAGCACACCTTTTAAAAAACATGAGAAGGTGGGAGAGTACGAAAACAAAAATGAAAATACAGGTTAAAGATTTCTGATCTTTATACTAGGCAAACAATAACAACTTTTGGGTACAAATTTAAAGACCACGTTTGCATGAGTGCCAGGAACTTCAGAATCACCAGAGTTGAAAATAAAATGATTGATGCATCTATGAAAGTATCTGCACAACGAATAATAAAGCATAAACAAGTTTCAAAAACAAGAGACTTATGGAAAAAGATGAAGTTTCATACCTTCGGCAGAAACAAATAAGATCATGTTAATAAAGTTTAACCAACTAAAATTTGAAGGATAACAATGAAAGAATACAAAATGAAACTCAATAGACAATGTTAAGTGAGATGAAAGCAAGAAGAACGGTTCATTTTAATTTTAGAAAGGAAACAAAAAAATCAAATAAATTTTAAAGATATATGGATCAACTTCAAAGAAATATAGATGATTACAAAAATTTGTAATGAAGCCTTCATATAAGAAAAGCTCAGACTCAATAACATCCCAACTCTTAAGAAGCATTTGCTCTGTCCAAGAGTTGAAAAATTAACCTTGTTAAACTACAACCAAACAATTAACTTCGAAATATTAAAGTATTAACATAAAAGTTAAAGCATACTAAGAAGTAAGAAATCTAGTCATTCATCGACAATTAAGTCATGTTGTTAAACTAACACCGAACAATTAACTTAAAACATATTATTAAAGTATTAACTTAAAAATCGGGTAAGGTACACTAGAGGCAATTGAACTATGCTTAAATTATCTTTTTGATCATTGAACTTTTAAAAGTTACAAAAGGGTCACTGTGACATTATAATGATTGTAAAATTTCTATAAACTAATGATCATTTTGTAACATTTCGATAAAATTTAATGACTATTTTGTAACAAACTGATAAAATTTAATGACCTTTTCTAAAAATTCAATAAATTTAATGACTATCTTGTAACAATTTGATAAAATTGGTGAGCAAAACAATTTAATGACCTCTAGTGTACTTAACCCTAAAAGTTAAAGCATACTAAGAAGTAAGAACTGTAGTCATTCATCAACAATCAAGTCCAGTTGAGGTTTTAAACACAGCAATTCTTATGGCACATTTTAATGCAATTCTTTTTCAGCTTTGCAACAAACCTGATCCTGACCACTAGCCACCCATTGCGAGATCATGCTTTATGGCACATTTCTCTCCTTCATCATCTTCATCACCTCTCTCAAAACCCATCTCCAGATATTATTCATTTTCCCATAACACACACATAAAAAAATCCTTTTTCTCCAATAATCTTATCTTTGACTTTTATTTAACAAACATACTCTCAATTTATAGAAGATTGGTGTTTTTGATGGCACATGGAGAAATCTTTCCTTCTTATGTCTGGTTCGAGATGAGCCAACTAGTTTTTACATTATATATTTATATATCAGATATTATAATTTTTAAGTATAAAATATTTATTTACTAAATATATTTTAATATATATATATATATATATTATTTTTTATGTGTACATATATGTATATGTTTATATATTATAGTATGTTTTAATGTGCCTAGATATATTTTGTAAATAAAAATTAACTTATTTTAATATACATTTTATAATTATTTATATGTATATATGATTTTTATTATATTATACTATATTTTCCTTACGTGTACGAAATACTTATACATGTCATTTCATTTGCATTGACATCGCTTATCATATGACTCTTTATTAATAGTGCATTAATAATGAGAGTAAGAGCAATGCTATTTTATTTTAAATTTTTGAGAAATAGTTGTCTAGATGTACAATAAATTTTCTCTCGATAATTTTAAGTAAAAGAATATCCTATTAAGAGAAATTACAAAAACATATTATAATTTTTAATTATTAAAAAATAAAAATAAAATTCTTTAATTTAAATTTATAAAAAAAAACACCCTAAAAACCTTTTCTCAATGATTAGAAATCATTTAACACTCTTTTTTTTCTCATATTAATCTCGTCCATTCACAATTTATTAAAGCAAAATGAATTTTCGATTATATAAATGGTTTAAAAGAAAAATCTACAAAAAATCTCAATAATTATAAATAATTGAACACTTTTTTCTTTTCTTTTTTAGTTTTTGAATAAAGAATTCTAAATATAAAGATAATGGTTTAATGACAATATCTTATGAAAAAAAATTCTAAATAAGATGGCATTTCAGCCCCAAAAAACATAAAGCTCAGAATTACTCCATTCCATAAAACGAGGCTACGTGCATCAAAATAAGATCTACAAATTTCAAAGCCCTTTGCTGTCAAATAGCAAATATAATTTCACATCATCCTCAAGAAAACTAAACATAATTACTGCCATAAATACTCCCAAGATTATTACAGCCTTCTCCAGTCAGGACAAGCTGTAACTGGAAACTGCTCCAAAATTAAATTTTGATGTTAAAGTAATCTGGATCAAAATGATGCAATCGCACGTATCCATCCTCTCCGCCGCTTGAGAAACTACAAGTTAAAAAACACACGGATGGTTGCAAATAGTCGATTATCCAAAAGTTATGTAGGCAAATACAGATAAGAAACTCTCTAGGTAACCATTGTGGTAAAAACAGAGATAGGTACCAAATGATATTGGTCAACATTCAAAAACATGGTGAGATACCATACTAATGATGCAAAAGGTATATGAAAATAATATGAACTTGAGCATCAGACAGTAATATAAGCAAAGAAAATTTAAAAGTATTATTTGCTTTGTACCTCTTCCCATCCGGGTTAAATGCCAAAGCATTTATAGGCCCAAAATGCCCTTTCACACCTCCAATTTCCTCTTGCAGAATCTACAAGGCAGCCAAACATTATGATAAAATGGGAAGTTGCAAAATAACAACACTTCACCTTCTGCAGAAACCAACTTACCTTATCATAGAATTTAGCTTCAAACTTCCCGGCACGATGATCTGTAGTTGTGACAGCTGATGCATCCTGGCCACCTCCAAGCACAACCTAGAAGAACACAAGCAATCAAAAGAAAGGTTAAAATAAGATGTACCCGTAATGGAACAAGAAAGGCGACGGCATGCTGAATTCTGTCTATGAAATCAGTTCTCCCACATATGAGCGTTACCAAATAAACCTAGTACCATGATTCATGCATATATCCGCACTCATTGATATATAATAACAGGCAGTTCAACATTAGCATCGGACCATCTAAACAATCAATTTTGCAAGGCTTGAGAAGCACTTCAATATTAGACTTCTTTAGGCCTCGTCTTATGAGTACTAGGAGTTTGCATAAAATGTTTGAAGACCCTGAAGTTACCATTTAAATAATAAATAAATTAGAAAAGATATCACCAAATTTCTACTCCCTAATATAGAAAATTAAGGACAAAGCAATTAGGGCCAATTAAAATTAGCATACAAGTTATGTCGCTCTTATTGGATACTTACATGGTCAAGAAGTGGAGACATTGTAACAGCATTGACTGGGCGCTCAGTACCATATGTCTTGACAAGAGTCAATGTTCTTGTGTCCCATAGCTAAACATTCACAGAAAGAAAATAAGAACGACAAAGTGAAAGCCAACCATAAACAACCTGGGGTTCCCAGAAAACAGTCACAAATACTGAGGAAACTTAAGGGGTTAATAAGATGCATCACCTTAGCAGATTTATCCAGGGAACCAGTAAGGAAGTGTGAACCGTCTGCAGCTTTTGCGAGTGATGTTATTGTCTTTTTGTGTCCAGATTCCTTGTCAGACTCCCTAAGCAGTTTTCCGGTCTGCAAAATAGATAGGAAAATCAATCCAAAAGATCGAACTCTTTCCAATGAATGAACAAAACTTCAATAGGAGGAAAGAAACATGACTGTGGATAGTTAAGAAGGACAATTCAAATAATAAGAATAGATGTAACTTGAAGTTTATTGAGGATGAAGCCCAAATCAGCTATTACATGAGAACTATTTCAATGTTGAAGCCAAAAAGATAAACTGATCAAGATTGCAAAGCAGCACTTCTACAAAACGAGCCAAATACACACACACAGCAATTTACCTCAGAATCCCATATACGAATTACAGTATCTTCTCCGGCACTAATGATAGTACTATTGAGGGGTCCCCAAACAGCTCTATTTATTCTTCCTTGAGGGCCCTTGATGACAAGCACGGATTCCTCAGTCTCTGCATGATCATGCGACAATGTAATGAATCAAAGTTTAGACATCAAACACATCAACAGACTTGAAGCAAATGATTCTGTAAGAAAACAGCAGAAATAAACTACAATGCCAAACAGTTACAAATACATTCTACATCAAGGTACTACTTCAACAAAAGTAATCTTATTTATTACTGCATATTCAATCTCCCATTGCCTAATTTTATTCAGAAACTTAAAGCAAGCCAATTGTATTGAACCAATAACACAATAAAGTAACATAATTTTATTTATTATGAAAATCGGACACATTGAAAAGTTGGGGGAGGGGAATTTAAGCTTACGTTCAGTTGGGTCTTTGGCAATGCGTTTAACATGAATTGCAGAAGTCAATTCCATGAACGGATCCGTAGTAATGACAGCGAGTTTATCCCCCCACGGAAAACTCCACAGACCTCGCAGGCGAACCAAAATTAAACGTATATAATTGAGTTCCCGTCTTAACATTCCACAGCTTCACCGTTTGATCAGCACTTCCGGTTAAAAGCCTCATTGAATCCCCTAAACATTAAAAAAATGAAATCTATATTTTAGTTTCAATTTCAAAAGTTTCAACTTCGATAAAAGAATAAAAAAGATAATTACTTGAGACATCGCAAGTCCAAACAGCGCCGTTATGGCCACGGTACGTGCCAAGACGCTCGCCGTTGTCGGCGAACCAAACGGTGGGAGTGTGATCCTTGGCACATGAAAACAAAAGATCGCCGTCTCTGTTGTACTTGAGAAACGTCAATGGCCTTTCATGACCTTTCATCAAAATCGGCCTCATCTTTTCTCTTCTTGTTCGTTTTCCTGAGCTTCTCTAACTAAGAATTAGGGTTCTTTGCTTTTGCTGTATATTTGTTTTTGTTTTTGTTTTGTTTGTGATTTCTTTAGACATGGTCTTGGCGGCGTCACATCTTTTAGATAATGAATAATGGGCCCATTGTTCACTGTGCCTCATTTAACTGTCCACTCCGGATCTTAGCCCAATAGTATTTGGTGTCGGTCCATTTAACCAAATAATTTATTACAATATGTCAAATAATTTAAGAAAAAATAATAATTTTGTTAAAATAATCTGTATATATAATTTTAATTTATATTAAATATATATTTATTTACTGTGTACAATAAAATAATAAATTTAATATATAAAATATTTTTTGTCAAAATAATTTTTATTATATTTAATATATATAATTTTTTATTTTATTATAATTTAACTTTATTATATATTTTTTATTTTTAAATAAATTTATTTTCTTGAAATATTTTGATCAGATAATATTTGCAGTAAATTATGAGTTATTATCTGCTATAAATTACAACATATTTCTCGAAATTCATGTCTGTCTTTATTTATCTAATTAATTGTTGAACTGGTTGTATCATGTATCTGGACACTTTTCTGAACAGATTCAACATGATTAGCTGCAACTGTTATAGATGATTGATTGCAGAATAATTACAACTGTTATAGATGATTAATTGTAGTTGAATTCTCGTTCTATGCTTGAAAGGTGAGCCTATAAATAACAAAGGAATTCAGAAGTTCAAAATATCCGAAAATAGAAAATAATGCATTTCATTTCTTTATAAAGGTTTTTTTCTCTCCATATTCTTTTTTCTTTTTTTTATGTTCTGGGTTTAAGAAAAAAAACATTTAGTCCCTGAGTTTTTATTTCGAGTTAAAGAGGAGTAAAACCATTTTTGTCCACTCTTAACTTTTTGGGCGTATAAAATTTTGAAAGTGGTGTTAATTTTGAAGGACGTTCGTCTATTGTAGAGATTACATATATCTGAACGAATTTATTTCTAAGACAATTGTTCACCAC